TGGTGTGCTCAGAGGTGGTCTTGGATCCTTTGCACTTGGCAGCATCTGTCCGATCTTCTTTGGAGGCTGGAAGATCGTTCGAATGTTATGTTTGCCAAGTACTCTACTTATGCGTTCTGTTGTGCCGCTCAGATAGGGGAGGAGGACCACTTTTGGTCTTTCCTGGTTTTCCTCGGGATTAGTCTCCTCTTCGGGAGATGAGAGCTTGCTTTGTAACTTCTGCTTGACCTTANAGCCGAGTAAATCCCGTACCCTCGTAATCCACATTTCTGCGTGTGGTTTGTGATATCNCCATTTTCCTTGAAATTCCATCAGCACCAACAGCGTTGGATTTGATGAAAGATATCGCAGTCCGGATATCTTGATTGTAAGTGCTCTATACATTAGAGAGCTAATAACGGAATTCTTTTGGGAGGGGTGGTGATGGGAGGGAGCATTGAGATACCTATCTGTGTGGGTTGGCTTGCGATATACTTGGTGGCCTAGAGTGCCGTCCTCGTTGCGTCGAACCAGGACATCTAGGAATGGGAGACATCTATCTTGTTCAGTTTCCATAGTGACCTTGATGCTCACGTACTGAGTATTCAAGAACTCCAGGAANGAAGGTAATGAGTTGGCCGTGTTTGGATAATCAAGAATTTTGGGTTAGGGTTTATTGCGTATTTGTTGAGGCTAAAGAAAAATCATTACAAGATAAATGGCTCTATGCCATGATGTACTGAATCGATCGACCCAAAATTTTGTACAGAAGTGAGACCCGATAATACTGATGATTAGTAGCCCAAATTTTATGGGGTTCATTCGAACTTTTACGCGGATTACGGGACGTCAAATTCACTATGAGATGAAAAAAATAGAAAATCGTGAATATCTCGGAAACTTTGTATGGACGGATATTCATATTTTGATTGCTCTCGATAGGTACCAGCATGACGGGTATTTTGAAAAAAAAAATGAAATCGGACCAGTTTTTAGGAGATATGGAGCAAAACAGTTTTTCTCAAAAAGTTGAATATCTTCTAAACCAATCGGTCGATTTCGCCTCCTCCTGAACTCATCTTTTAATATCATAAGTTCTACAATTTCACCAAATTTCAATACCCTATCTCAATTATTTCGGGAGTTATCGTGTATACACATAAAACAAATTTAATAAAAAAAAAATGATAAATGCTAATTGTCATCAAACTGTTCCTAGTTTCGTAGGCATATTATCACTTCATTTGATAGATATTATCACAAGAAACACTTTGACGTCGAAAAATTCAATTCGGTCACGTAGTTTTTGAGGCATTGAGGAAAGACGATTTTTGAAAAATTTCTGTATCTCAAAAACTACTTGATCTATTACTCTCAAACTGCGCCTAGAGCTGCTCCCAAATGATAGCAATTATCTGACAAAATTTCAGATTGATAGCTCCAACTTCAATTGTCTTTTGTTGAGATTTATAAAAAATTTCCGAAAAATTTACACGCACATACGGACATACATACACACATTTTTTAAAAGCATTACATCTTCACGTTTCATGATATTCTACATCATTTCCAAGTAAAATTAGAAGATCGTAAAAATGGCCGATCACAAGGCTTTCATTCGGAAGTAAAACAACATTGATGACAGTCTGAGAAGTTTCCGTGCACCTTGTAACTCTGCAAAAAACCTTCACAAGCGGAAGACCACAGGAAAAAAACCAATACAGAGAACGAAGGAAGAAGTTGATAGTTTCATGTCTCCCACGAGGTTCAAAATGCTGCAGCTTTCAACTTAAACGAGGGCATAGCAACGAGCGACGAAAAGGTAGTACTAGCTGGCGGAAGGTGTCGGAGGAGGGGCAGGGGGCCTCGAAGGTGGGAGAAGCTGAAAAGAAACGCGACGTTAGGATCGATCCTGAAAGTCACCCCAACTGTACCAACCTGAGAATGTATGTACGTGTGTTCACGACCCACGAATTTATGCACCTGACATTTTGCAAAAATATAATACGCTCATTAAGAAGATGTGCCAAAGGGGAGATAATGGCCTTTGGTGGTTTTTCCGTTG